AATGGTAGACATACCGGGTATCTCAAGATCGAGTAGGCCTGCAGGTTCTGCATCTGGCTTGTGGACGAGATGCGCATGGCGTAGTCTCCAGGTTCCGCGTTTAGTCTCACCAGAACGGTAAGCCTTCCAGCGCTGGGCACGTAGACAGACTATCAGGTGTTGTAAGTTCTGTGTCAAAGGATGGCAAAGGTTAAATGGGATGACTTACATCGGCTTCTTCGGGAACAACGAAGCCACCATTATTCGCAACTACAGTCAGCTTGTGATTGTCAATGGAGACCATGACGGAGTGCTCGAAACCAATGTTGATCAGGTTCAACATCATGTATTCTCTGCCTTCCGTCTCAAGGACCTAGCGTGGTGATCAGCATCATTCATAGCTGACGCGCCATCACAGCCAGACATCACAAACCTCATAGTCCGCTCTACTTGGTGTGCATGATTCTTCTGGGAGACCAGGTGGTTGGATGCAGCCTGTCTCATCCAAGCGATGTCCGTTCAATTGTTCGTATCCTGGTTGACGGCAATGTACACGGCCCTTTCCTACAAGACACAGCCCAAGTCAGTGGTGGAAAGCTCTGATGGGGATGGACTTGCTGACCATTGACGAGGATCGAATCATAGCAATAGAACTCCGACCCTTCAGCCCGCATGCGGAGCATTTTCCAGCCTGTGTCCCGGTGTTGGTGATTCTTGATAGCGAGATGTCGGACTTGCTTCTCGGCCTCCATAATTTTTCGCAGCTCGATGTCATTTTTCGTGATGAGACGGTAGGGACGAGGTCGAGATGGGCTTGGCGCTACATAGACCATACCATACAAGCCCTTGCGTTCGAAGTCAGACTGGTATATTTTGGCAGTTGTGAAGAAAGTTCGTACTGGAAAGAAAAGGAGAAGGTAAAGAGGAAATGATAAAAGACGGAGACTTCAAGCATACGAAAGAACAACTGTGTGACATAAGGTAGGAGAAGGAAGAGACCTACATCAGCAGACGCAGCAGTTGTGTGCTCAGCGTACCAGTTGAGACCCCACGAGCCAGTCGTGTCAATCACGCTTGTGAAGTTGCCGCGAGGGAGAATAGGGTACTGTCACATCAGTGTAAGCTTTGCACATTTGAGCCGCTAGGTACTGTCGAACCTGCGATATCCCAGCGGTACCGTCATTCCAGCTTCCAGTTCTATGATCGACCGAGTTAGTATTCTACCTTAATCAGTTTGAACTACATTGCTGGGTTTGCTTTCACACTTACGCCTTGTGTCCAATGCCGGACCTTTGAAGATGGGTCAATATGGAAGCAGAAAGTAAAGTAAAACTTGGGGAGATCCTGACCAGTGAATGGAAGACTGAGCATAGACATCGCTCTTGACTGTCAATGCGACAAGATCGCCTTCTTCAGCGTACAGCGTGGGGCAAGGCGTTTGTCCGTTGCAAACGAACATGACTCTCCATCGACCGCCATCTACTTCCATGTCAGTTACTTCCATAGGGCTGATCGTACGCCTTGCTCAAACCTGGGTTCATCCATCTCACTCCAGACTGGAGCGTGTACTCTCTCATGAGTCTGTCTTGTCCACTGGGGTTGTGGCGGCCCCAGCTACCGAGCAGCCCCGTGAGCGGGTACCCATTCCTCCACAGCCCAGTAAGGGCGAGGAGCAATAGCGTGGACAAGCCAGAGATCCAAACATTTCTAGTGTAACGGTTCCCCGACTTCTCTCGAGAAACGCCGAGTTGTGTTTGGTCAAGTAACTGCTGTTTTGATTCCATTTCCGGGCTGAGCTTGGAAATTTCTAAGCCGGGGGAATCGGGGAAAGACGAAAGAAATTTGGATTGGGCAGCTCGACAATAACAACCACGGGGACCGTGGCGACTGCGGACTTAGGACATGACATCTCCTGGGGTCTTTTCCGTCCTGAGTCAGATTAATAATTCGGTAGTCAGATTTCTGACTACTAATCGCCCCTTTCAAGACGCTAGGTCTCCCCGTTGTCCTTCGGACCGTGAGTTGCAACGTTGTAGCTTTTCCAAAGGTGTTGTGGCAAAGGGGCACGACCCTGTTTCGTAGAGCATTGCGTTGATCATGATTCGGCACTTTGAGGTCTGCCAGGGGTTTGCAACCGATCTGTATGGAGCCTCACGATAATTGGGGACATTCGGCCGAGCGTAGAGGCCTCGAAGAACGGGGCGGATATGCTGTTTGAACTCTAAAGTGATACTCCGCCTGCACTCCGTAAACTCCAACCGATTGGAAGCATGTTGAACAGGTTTCCTTAGCGTTAGGTTGCGGGAAAGCGGGTTGGTACCCCTGACTCGGTAAACTCTAACGGTTGCATCGGATGGTTGTAGGGGTACCTGGACGACAGGAGTCCGGCCCGGGAAGAACGCCGTAAAAGAGGACGAGTTGGGCACCGTAAAGAGGAGTGTTGGGTAGTCTTTCGAGTGATTTCCTCTGCTTCTCTTCGCACCAGGAAGACAGTCATGGTAGCTCTTACGAAGTGTGCAATCTTGTCTTTGCTCGCCGGTGTGAGCCTCACAGCTCGTACGAGGCGGTATAATTTTACCATTACCAACAAATGGGATGTTGGGGACGGACATGGCCGACCTGTCTTTGCTATCAACAATGAGACACCAGGGCCCCTCATCGAAGCGGAGGAAGGCGACGAAGTTGAGGTGTTCTTGGACAACCAGCTCGCCTTTGAAACGACCATGCATTGGTATGTATTCCCCAGCCAATCCACAATTGTGGCCTCTCATCCTACCTGGACTTACACACAACCAGGCATGGCATCTACCAAATCGACCGGCCCTGGAATGATGGAGTCCCTGGTGTGACACAGTACTCCATCCAACCTCGAGATACCTACACGTACCGCTTCACAGTTCAGCAACAGTATGGAAGCTATTTCTATCATGGCCATTTCGGACCTGCGTTTGCCGATGGCATGCGAGGGCCGATCTGGATTGCACCTGCAGCATGGAGGCCAAGACCTTACGAGCTGATATCATCCTCGCCAAGGGACATTGAGGGCATGAAGCGAGCTGAGGAGCATCCCAAGCACGTCGTCATCAGTGACTGGAATGCCGAGCCCATGGACATCTTGCTGATTATGTACCGGGATACTGGTATCGTTCCATGGTGCAGCAACTCAATCGTTCTCAACGGCAAGGGAAGGACGGTGTGCCATCCAAGGGAACTGCTTGATTCTGTGGGTGGCCCAGGAAGAAACTCTCTTGGCTGTCTACCTCAGAATGGTCAGAAGGAATTTGCAAACGAACAGACTTGCCAGCCGACCTTTGCTGATCTAGAGATCTTCGAAGCTAACAGCGGCGAAGAATGGATCTGGATCAACTTCATTCATTCTGGAGCGCACCACGAGCTACAAATCAGCGTGGATGAGCATGAGTTCTACGTCGTCGCCGCTGATGGAGAGTTTGTGCATCCTCAGAAGGTCCATGCTGCCAATTGCAATCTTGGAGAGCGCATTAGGTGAGGAAACTTCCAAGTGAGAATGGCCTTGCCTTACGATGGACCGCTGACAAGATATACATAGCATTCTCGTACGCCTTAACCAGAAGCCTGGGGACTATGCCATAAGATTGACATCGCTTCGTCCAGAGCAGGTCATTCAGGGCTTCGGAATTCTCCGATATGCTGACCAAGGCAACGAATTGAAGCAAGAGATCCCTAAAACGAAGCCTTGGGTTCACCTCAACGGAACTCTGATCTCGTCATCATCTGTAGCCATGGACGAGACTAAGCTTGCACCCTACCCAGTGCGGGCTCCTCCACCCAAGGCAGATAATACCGTCAAATTCTTCGTCAACATGACGGGCCCCAGTAGTTGGGCATTAAACATCGGTCCTCATCAGGCGTTCCGTCAACAGCTTCCACCCTTGCTGTGGGATGAGGAATCACGTGGCGAGACAACCTACGGAGACCACACTCAAGGTGGTGCGCTTCAGAATGGCACCGTTGTGGACATCATCTTCGAGAACGGCGCCAATGTCACATCTCAGCATCCATTCCACAAGCACAACAACAAGGCTTTCGTCATCGGCACAGGGACTGGTGGCTTCCCGTGGCCAACAGTCGAGGATGCAATTCGCGAGGGCGGCATGGCGAAGCACTTTAATCTCATTAACCCACCCAATCGAGATGGCTGCAGACTCGGAAATAGCACTGGAGACTGGACAGTCATTCGCTACGAGATCGCTTTCCCTGCCGCTAGTATGCTTCATTGCCATATGATTCATCATTTTGCCGTAAGTCAACGACGTTCAATCAAGCCCTCTTGCAAGTTACGTGCCACCGATGTAACTAAACTTATTTTAGGCTGGGCAGCAGGTCGTGCTCCTTGAGGGGGTCGAATCCATGGCCAAGATCCCCGCAGAAATGAAAGACAGAGTACATTCAGACTTCACACCACCACTTCGGTACGGCCCATTGGATTGATTACACTTTTGCTGCCCGATTGGCCTCGTGTCAACCATGCAAATGCCACCTCCATGCTGCGCTCAGCCGATTTGTTTGGGCGACTGATCATCCCGCTTGGTAGGGACGACGAGCGGGCTGGGTTTTGCTTGGTTGATTGCCGCGGGAGCCGAAGAGAAAGGTCTCTGAAGCGCGATTTAGAGTTTTTGTCGAGACATGCCATGGAACATCAAAATGAAAACAAAAATCATTTCCCATTTCCTCACTGTAATATCTTGCTCTGACTGGTCAATTCAATAAGCAGGTATGCGAGAGCAAGCGAGCCTTTGAGGACGGGAAATGCTGAAGCTCTGAGTCCGCTTGCTGCCGTCGTGATTCTTACGAACAATAAGGAAAGCAGGGTAGCGCTTGTCTCTGAAGGAACACAAACGTTCCGACAGTATCGCCGGCAGTGCCAAAGTTGATGAGCTCCGGGGTCGCGGTCCGAACTACTTCCCGAAGAATTATCCCTCGACGTGGCCACTGCTACAGGATGGCTGACGCATGATGTTTTGGACTTTTCTGTTGAACAATCAAGCTTTTTCAACTGCTGACATATTCACCATGCGTTTCCCTATTCTGTACATGAACCTTTGGCCAAAAGCGAAGCATGCCTTAGCCCTTTTTTGTGCCTTCTGGTAGACACGCAAGACGTCTTCTCGTTCCCCAGCGCTCATAAAATTTGTCTTTGTAGCAACAGGCGGGTCCTGTTCCATCCCCGTAGGAGCGTCTATGTTTCTGTTTTCTGTCTTTGGGCCTTCATTGACTTTTAGGGTACCGGCGCGTCGAAGTGAATCCCTTCTTTTGCTGCAAGTGCCCGCAGTCGAGCTTCGCCTGCTGCCAGCCCATGATCCTTGAGTAAATGAAGTCGCAGCCGTGCTAGGCGAGTCGTATGTCTCTGAGAATGTTTCGGTCGCTGAGCTTCTTCTGCTCCGTCTACTTGACTCCGTGTATGAAGTCTGCTCAGCATGAACCATCAAGTCTTCGTATCGTAGAGAGGGAATATCGGGAATATCGCGACTCGGCCTCGATTCGCGAGGACCAAACGAAAATCGTGATACCGAGCGTGACGGGTAGACAGATACGGATTGAGCATCAGAGTAGCCGTCGATTATCTCCTCTAAATCGAATTCTGGAGAGACGACTTCTTCCTCGGAGATTCTTGGGGCGATCTCAGAGCAAGCATCGAATTCGAAGCGACGGCGTAGTCTATCAACCGAGGCTCTGTATGTCGAAGCAGAACATTGCCGGAGTTTGTACTCCTCTTGGAATAGCGGTTGAGGAATATCACTGAGGGTGCATGTACAGCTTGACACGGACTGTCGAGCCGTTGGGCTGCTTGGAAGGTTTGTGCTGGTGTCAGATACCACAGAGCATTCAATGGCACCTAGCCTGCCGTCTATTCCATTGAAGCGAAGTTCGAGACGATTCAATTTTGTAAGAATGATCTTGAGAGCTTCTTGATTGGCGTGCGGAGATGTCATGGTGATATAGCTGGTATTGATTTGAGTTGAACTATTGAGCTTCGCGCATGAGCCACGACTGCGAGGAATCCCAATTATTAAGCTCTTTGATGGAGTTGGAAAGATACGATGACATAAAACTCTTCCCAAAGTTCCTCCCGCAGATATCTACAAATGCGTTGATCGTTGATCTACCGCAGACAACAAAGGGCCGCTTCCATATATGTCGTAGACTCGAAGATCCCCCAATGCCAAGAGACCAATGAAATCTTGAAGTGACGACACCACCAGTACTACTATTCCGAAACCCATCGGATTTTCAAAAGACGCACCCAAATCAGAGGTGTCAGAGACACTCACATGTTGCAAGGTTCTTATATCGTGTCATGAGAGACGGGAGCGGAAGCTGGCTTGCTGCGTGTCATCCATCATGATCAAAGCTAGGGCAAACATCTCACCTTGAGAGAATCTTGGTGATCGATGTCTCAGATCTAATCTCTTCCCATGTGGCTTAGCGTGCGAGCTCACCAGTTCCATGCAGTCACCACGAGATTCCGGCATTAGCCAATTACAAGATCCGATTCCAGGGCTGAGACCAACACTGAAGAATCGAAAGCTGCCCATATCGAACACAGAGTAGCATCAACAACTTGAGCATAGTGCTATTGGTGCCATGTCAAAAACCGTGTCCTCGTGCTAGTCTGGGGTTCGAGCAGTCAAATGTGTGAGGTTTTCAATGCTTTGGATGTGATGTCCTGTGTGATTAGCCCAGCAAATGCGCTAGAGTCTCAGGTAAAGCAAGACGGAAAAGTAATAGTGATCGAAATATCGTCGGCTGTCAACTTACTTGGGCGAATGCATTCCTTTCAAAAGCTTGTGGCTTGTGTGTGGTATGGTTTTGCTGTTAATTCTATGGATCCTTGTGAGGATATGTCTCAGTCAAATGACACTGCTTCGCCATGGGGCTTGTCTGTTGCTCAAATTTCCGGCTCGTAATCAACGCGCCTTAGTGACTTTTTCATCTTGATATTTACGGACAAGTTCGATACCTGGTTCTATGGATTCGTACCGTTGCCATTCGTCATTCATTCAAGCGTTTCCTTCTCTCAACCTCGGATTCCACTGCCTATTGGTTGCTACCTACCTTACCCTAGGCCGAGGATCTGCTCTGTATCAAAATCATACATATGACTGGTGTAAACAGCTTGAGGTAACATAGCTCTATGGATGAGGTAATCCCCGCTAGGAGTCACCCCAAGTCTACCAGTCGCGATGAGACCTTGCTTTGTAAGTTAGTGCGGCCATCATAAACAGCGGCAATGTCATATCAATCATATGGCTTTCTCAGCAAACATCAGATCCCAAATGCTGGCAAGCAGTACATTTTCTCAGAGAGATCTATGGTTTTCTGTTTATGTGACGGGGCTCATAGCGGACAAGAGCAAACCCTATGGTTTGGGCCATCTTGGAGGCTGGGTGGCTCAGCAGTTTCCAGACATTGTGCCTTGCCACGGTTGTAAGTCGCTGAACAAGAACAGCTTCGCATTTAGTGCACTTGAGACTCCGAAAGAAAATATTGGATACTAGGGAGAGCGTAGTTAAACAAGTCTATCAATTATCGAGGGCTACTACTTCTGCCCGATTACATCCACTGAGGTAGAGAGAGTAAGATACCTAGCGTCGACGGCTGAAGGGGTCATTTACTCGCCCCATGCGAGTGGCCATCCGGGCTCAAATTGACTATTACAGTCGATTACACATGCGATTGCTGCGATCAATTGCTTTCGTAGTCACCGTCATAGAAAGACCTCACACAGTTGAACAATCACATCGAGGATCGATCGTTCAGAGTCAGGAGAGCTTGACGGAGCTCTGGATTGCCTTTACTCGTACCTCGTGGCGACCAATCTATCTAGCCGTTCAATCGGACGGTCAATTGCTTTACCATGTGCTGCGTTCTTGCCTCGCGACAGCCTCGGGGCTACGAGAGAGTTGTCGCATAAGGTAGCTAAGGATCGTCACGGTGCCAAGCATACTGGACTGCAATTAGTTCCGTTTATCCTTGCAATGGCTTTCGTAAATAGCACCTGGTCCTTTCAATTGAATCACATTGAGTTCTGTATCTATAAGCGCACCACAGCAGGAGGTGAATGGGTGCGGCTAGGGCCATGGCAAAGACTTCAAGCTGGGTTGTGACGTCAATAAGCGCTTAATAGAAGTATGTTTGGGAAAAGAATTCACGATGGAACCACCGTGCATGTGCACCGCCTCGAGAGGCTGGGTGACCACTGACGAGACACACAGATACGCGGGGCAGGACTATCACGCGCCCACGGAGAAACTTGGAAGTGGATTCGGCGCGAGACTCGAGCTTCATTGACATGGGAGACAGATTGGGCGAATACGGGGTAAACAACGACAATGTGGGAGATGCCGGGGCTTCTCGCAGGCCTCCTCGGTGACAATGACCGGACGAACCCCACAGATTAAGGTGACAACGGTGGCTCCAAACCCCGGACAACATGGCCAAAGTGAGAGAAACTGGAGGGAGTCTGGAGAGAGAGGGAGGGAGAAGAATCTTGGCTCGTCTGTTAGAAGTTAGTGCGAGCTCTCTCGTTTATTACCCCGCCATCTCCGCCGCCCGTCGCTCTCATTTTCTCGCGCGCCAATCCGGTGTAACCTCTCTCAAGCAAGGTACCGGTAGTCGACGTCGACATCGGGTGCGCTCGCCCGTTAGCAGGTCTTGGCCTCTCCGCATCTTGAGCGTTGTCTTTCCCGAACCGAGCACCGAGATGGATTGATTGATGGGGTTTACCTTGGATTTGCTGCCGGATCGTCCCTGGATGTTCGTCTTGACTCGAGCAGCTTTCGACATGCGGAAGAAAGCGCTCCAGTTACGAATGAGCATCTTGTCTTGACAGCATCCACCGGGGACCGCAACCATGCCACCGAAATACCTTCCCGCGTAGATCTACCCCAGGAACGCTCGGGAAACTGATGATGTCGGTAGTCTCGTTGCGACTTCGTGTCCGCCGATGTCACGACTCGAGGACCTATAAAGATGCGTGAAGCTCTCCCGTCGGAAGGCATCATGTAGTATCCTGAAGCAAGGCACGATCTTGCAGTCAAGTCCACCGACCCGGAACACACCATGATCTTGTCCAAGATCGTCTCCGCCTCACTGGGGCTCTTCAGCCTCTTCGGTTCGGCTGCCGCCTATACCAACCCCATCCGCAACCCCGGCGGTGGTGATCCTCAGATCTCGTGGTTCGATGGGTACTACTACTTCATCTCGACCGAGTGGACCAACCTCCAACTCGCGCGTGCCACCACCATTGAAGGCTTAAAGACGGCCACGCCAAAGGTCATCTATTCCGATTCGAACCCGACGCGATGCTGCAGTGTCTGGGCTCCCGAAATCCACTACTTTGACGGTAGATGGTACCTCTACTACACCGCCGGCAACGACGGTAACTTGGATGGCCAGAGGATGCATGCCTTGCAGGGTAAGTTGTGATGCCATGAAGTCAATAGAAGGGACGTATGCTTACACTTGTATGCAGGCGGCGCCTCTCCCTGGGATGACTGGTCCCTCGATGGCACCGTCGTCCGCTTCAACGACTGGGGCAACTACTTTGTCTACTCCTGCATGACTGGCGTCTCGCACCAGTCCGCCTGCGTCCGCAAGCTCAACGACGACTACATCTCCGCCTCGCCCAACATCACCATCATCTCCCAGCCCGACCAGCCCTGGGAGCAGAGCGAGGTCCCCGTCCAGGAAGGCTTCTACGGTCTTTACTTTGGCGGCAAAACGTACATCGCCTACTCGGCCAACTACTGCTGGACGCCCGATTACTGCGTCGCCCTGCTCGAGTGGGACGGCGTCACCGACCCGTCCTCCCCCTCGGCCTGGACAAAGAGCAACGGGTGCCAGCTGACGGCGGCCAACGGCAACTTTGGTACGGGCCACAACAGCTTCTTCCGCAGCCCCGACGAGACGGAGACGTACATCACCTTCCACGCAACGGCGAATGCCAACGGCGCGTGCGACGACAACCGCTATGTCATGGTCCAGCCCATCACCGCCAACGCGGACGGCACGCCCAACTTTGGCGTCCCGCAAGCTTCCACTTACGAATGGGCCGAGCCTAGCGCGTAGAAACGTTGCGAGCTGGAGGGGGGGGAACGGAGCAGGGGAAACGCGAGCTAGGATGTAGCTGTGACAGTAATCTGGCGGATTTTCCGGCTCGGCTGTATATATAACCCCGCCGACCTTGAGGTAGTACATGAATCAACGATTTGACGAGTAGAACATGGAGCTGTCCGAACTTGAAGCTATGACAAGAGTCATGCTCCAACTCTGATTACCAATGCGGCGAGTATTGCGTTCCTCACCTATTTCGGGACATGATGGTCTGTGTCGAAGCAGCGAAGCAGAAGCTCCCCCTCCCCCTCCATCCCCATGGGCCATCATTGAGGAAAAGCCCGGGAAACCAAGTGCGTCATCGTCCGTTCTTTCGCCCGAGTCCATGCGTCTGAAGGGCAGCCTCTTTGACAAGGAAACATCAATGTTTTAGTACAATGTTTTAGTGTGGAAAAAACCACATGGGGAGACGGGTAGAATACTGGGCAAGCTGGGGTACCAAGACAGGGTGCGGCATGCCAGCGACGGCCAAAAAAGTATTTGACAATCCATCCATCCCCGGAGCGGCGGGCGGGGCGGACGGGAAAGCGGTTGGGGTTGGCTCAGCCCCAAACATCTTGAGCCGGAAAGGAGTCCATACCTTGGCTAACAGAACCTTGGAGTGAAAGTCGGGAAGACATGTGAGTTTATAAAGGTGAGAAGAGAATCGGGACACAATAGAGATGGACAGATTGACCGGGACGGAGACCGAAGACAGGTATCACAAAAGCATATGATAATCATCGCAAGATTTACGTTTTGGTGACGGTTTCAAGCGGCGGGGAGCCGGGGCGGGAAGTGCAGGAAACGGACTTGCGTTGCGCGTCTTTCGTTTGTGCGGTTGCAGGAATACCGGCCGCTGGTGCTTTCAGAGAGAGAGAGAAAGGCACCGGGAACTCTAACCTTGTCCTGCTACAGAGTGCGTAGAAGGAAGCAAAGACTGAAGCAAGACAGACAGAAGCGTGAGATCTCGCAGCTCAACGGCCGTCGGTTCAACGTTGACTATGTTGGGAAATCCTATCGCGAAAGGTTTCACACCTCACACCTCTCTCTCCTTCTCACTCTCGCTTGCCTACCCTACCTCCCTCTTCTTTCTTCTCAAGGTGAGAAAAAAAGACTGGACGACTTACGCAATAAGCTCCCGCCCGCCACTTCCCGCCGTCATTCACCTACCTTATAGCTGGGAGGTTGCGTTCCGAACATACCCAGCTCTCGCACAGGCCTTTCTAGAAATGCATCCGAATTCCCATACGTCTTGCCCTAGATCTCTTTTCTCTTTCTCTCTTCTTTTCTCTGCTTTCACCTCTTCTGTTTTCTCCGTTCGTGGGGAAGAGTAGACAGAACAAGCCGTTGCCAAGATACAACGTTGGCAACTGGAGCCGTTTTCGCATGATACAGATTCACTTACACGCCGTCCGGTCCATACAAGCTACCCATTTCAGGGAACCGGTTACATCGGAGACAACTGACAACACGCCAACTTTCTTCTCTCAAGAAGAATCAAACAGTGTGGTCACATTCACAACTACTACCCACTACCCATAGTCTCGAGCTAGTATGGGCCGCCATGTAACCATCTGGTCAGCCGCGTTCCTGGCCACGGGCGGCTTCCTCTTCGGCTTCGACTCGGGCATCATCACCTCCACAATCGCCCTCCAGACGTTCAAATCCTACTTCAACCCCTCCGACGCCGTCGCGGCTGGCATCGTATCCTCCTTTCAGGGCGGTGCCATCCTCGGCACGATTATCAACATGATTTGCTCCGACTGGCTCGGCCGCCGCAACACCGTGTTCCTCGGCTCGCTCATCTCCATCATGGGCTCCGCGCTCCAGGCCGGGTCGGAGAATCTCGTCGCTCTCATTGTTGGGCGGTTCGTCGGCGGGACGGCCGTAGGTGTGCTGACGTCTACGATTCCCATGTACGCCTCGGAACTCGCGCAGGCGAGACATCGTGGGAAACTGTCGGGTCTGTTGCAGTGGATGCTGAGTTGGGGATTCCTGGTTGCGCAATGGTTGGGTTATGGGTGTTCCTTTGTCGCGAATGACTTTTCATGTGAGACCCCTCTGATACTTCTTCCCCTCTGCAACATTATGACCTCCCTTTTCCATGAAGGCTTTTTTTCTGTTGTTGAACCTGTTTGGCGAACGGCGAAGGACCATGGGACTGACACACCACACCAGGGCGTTTCCCACTGGCATTCCAATGCATCCCCGGCATCATCATCGCAACAGGAATCTACTTCCTCGAAGAATCTCCCCGCTGGCTCGTCGAAAAGGGCCGCTACGCCGAAGCCCGCTGCAGCCTCGACAAACTCCGCGTCGGCGTCGACGAAAAGGCCGTCGACGTGGAATACAACGAGATCCGCCACGCCGTCCGCACCCAGTCCGCCCTCCGCGAGAACGGCAATCTCTGGAAGGCCATCATCACAAAGCCCTCCTGGCGGAAACGCCTCCTCCTGGGCTGCGGCGTCCAGGCCTTCTCCCCGCTCTCGGGTATTAATGTAATCAACTACTTCGGCCCCCGCATCTACGAACTCCTAGGCATCGGAACGCAGACTTCGCTCATGATCATCGGCATCAATGGCGCGCTGGGGATTATATACAACACCGTCGGCCTCTGGCTCCTCGACCACATAGGCCGCGTAAGACCCCTCATCGCGTCAGCAGTAGGCCTAGCCGCCGCCCTCCTCGTCAACGCCGTCCAGTTCCAGTACCTAGACCGCTCCAACGCAGACCAACTACGCAGCATGGTCGCCATGAACTTTGTCTTTGGCTTCTTCTTCACGCCCTTGGGCATCATAAGCTGGGTCTACCCGGCCGAGATCTTCCCCCTCGAGATCCGCGCCCTCGGCAACGCGCTCACGACGTTTACCAACTGGACCATCAACCTCGTCCTCGTCTCCTTTCCGCCGCAGGCCCTCACGGCCGTGGGGTTCAAGTTCTTTTACGTCTTCTTCGTCTTCAACGTCGTCGCGGCGCTGTGTTACTACTTTTTCTACCCCGAGACGTCGGGCCGTACGCTCGAGCAGATGGACGAGCTTTTTGGCGATTATGTGCCCATGTCGGAGCAGAGTGCACTTGGGACTGCCATTACAGGGTCCGACAGCTCAGGAGGGAAAGGTGGCAAATATGGCTCGTTTTCCGTTCATGAGCGTGTGTCCTCCACTGCGGTGTAAAGCAGTTTCGAGAGCTTTCAAAAATGACAGGTGTTATGGTTTCGTCAGTCGTTCCTACATGGCCAGCGGCAATGCGATAGAATGGGCTCGTAAATGGGTATAGACCACAGCTACATTTAGTCAGAACATTCGCTATTGTAATAAGCCTTTAAGACGAATCCCATTAGACGCTGCATTTCACTAGATATTTTGATTAAGGACACATCTACTTCATACACACAGAATTGAGGGCAAGAGAGTGTACTCGTACGATAATAAGCATATGTAAATGATTACAAAGTTTGCATTACTAGGGAGGTATTTTAAAACAGCCTTTAAGCATGGGCACGTCTCCATTGATACAATATGAATGTCAAGGATAACAAGCTCGCCATGGACTCATTACTAAAGCCGAACTGAAGCGTACAGGGTTCATTTACAAAAGCACTGTGCTCTCATTCATACTCACTCCCATGAGTGGTGACGATGATAAGGGCGCGCCCCAGCTGGAGGGCAAGTCTTCATCGTCGATTTCCTCCTCGATTGTACTTAGTTCGCTCCTCGAGACCGTCGAAGGCGAAGAATAGATCGGAGGCTTGATGTCCGACTCAAAATCAAGCGTCATCCCCTCCCCCCACATCTGAAGGGTTGTTCGATACTTCGTGGCCAAATGCTCTGGCGAGCCAGAAGGCGTAGGCGGCGTCGACGGCAGGGCAAAATCGCTCACCGCACTCTAGTCGGTCTTCTCCAACAGGGTCTCGTCCTCAGACTCCTCTTCGATGCTCCAGTCCTTGAAGCCCTCGCCCCGGACCCAGCTGATGCCCTTTCTCCAACTGCCCTCCTTGACAGCCCTCGCGTCTCTTTCGTAGACAACACCGGTCAGCATCAGCGCCATGACAAAGACCCACACGTCTCCGCCCTTCATGGCCTTCCACCACCTTCTCTTGACGCCGACCTTCCACAGAGAGTCGACGCTCACGCGGGCCGAGTACAAGAAGACACCACGTCCGCTCTTGCGCTCCACCCACGCCCACAGACCGGCGAGGAAGCCTCCAAAGAAGAACCTCTGAGTTGGCAGGAATGTGCGAGGGAACCACTGTTGGAAGAAGCAAATGCTGGCCCAGGCAGTGGAGATGGCACCGGTCAAGAAGGTGCTCATCCGCAACGACTTGGCAATAACGCGCTGCAATGTCGTGACAGGAGCGTTATACAGCGAGCGGAACCGCGGAACAAAGGTCATGACGGAGTAAATGACCAGGAAGAATTTGGTGAGGCCGGGGAAAGAACCGAGCCAGAAGTTGAGGTACGTCCGAAGGCAAGATGGGTCGGACGGATGAAGAGTAGCGCATGATAGCGAAGTGATGATGGGATGCGCTGATGAAGTGAGAGGTGCAACAGCGCTGAGCGTTGGTGGCAGTGTTTCCTTGTTCGGGAAGAGAGTTGGTGATACAAAGGGTCTGCTGTTGTTAGAAAAGGCGGTTTTATGGAAAGATTCAGGGAGACTCACGGCCAGTTCAGCTTTGCCATCTGGGCAAGGTTGTCGACAATCTCCATGGCCTTGGGCCACTTGAGATGAGATGGGTAGTCGTTTGGCCTGGGGTGAATGTACGCTGTTGAATTCTTGAAAATGAAGTTTCCGTATGACTGGTCAGGGGTCAGCATTTCCCAACTACAAAGATCATCAGCATTCCTTACCTCAGGGAAGCAATCCCGGTCAAAGACTACAGCATGAAGCAGTTGTCCAAAGGCAAAGGGCTGGATGAGCCAGCTGCCCCACCACCAGGGTCTCTCCCTCTTGACCTTTCCACCGTTCTTGAAGCCCCAAATCATGCCCTCCTCTTCACACAGATTCCAGCCGAATTCGAGGGCTCTGAACAAGGTGTAAATGGCAATGGTGACGCGCAACTGCTGGGCGGGGTACACGCCGAGGAATGCGCCAGCGAGAGACGCGCCAATGGCCGGAGCGAAGGGGGACGTCAAGGTCGCAGTTGTGCGCGGGTTGCGCTGGCGGAAGGGCGCCGCTGATGGGTCGAGTAGGTGCGCTCGTAGGCGGTTGAGGAAACGGAAGAGGATGCGGTAGAGAAGGAGGATAGCTGAAAGCGAGAGGGAGAGTCGGAGGGTTGGTGACTTGTGGAGGGGTTGCTTTTTGGCATTAGGACTGGAAGTGTGCAAGGCACATCGTCAGCATACCGCCTTTCTCGCCTGTTTGATTGATCGGAGTGGCAACTTACTCTGGCTTTCCGCCCAGGAATTTGGTAGAAATGAGAGCCCAACCCTTCAACGCCATGGCTGTCCCCAAGAATACGCGAAGCGAATGCCGCACGGCGCGGGCATTGTAATCGTCAACAGCTCTCCCAGCACCAGCACCAGCACCAGCGGGAGCAGCGGGAGCAGCATTTCCTTGCCTTGCGACAGCGGCCTTGTCACCATCGACGATGCGCTCGACAGCGGTGACGCTCGGCGCAGCCCTCTTAAGCAGCCGCGAGCGCGACAAGACGTACTTGTGTAGGGTGGCATACTCCTTGGCGGAGATTGTGTATCGCAGGGTGTTTCGGAGAATGGGATCGGTGATGCTATTGCGCGAGGGCGGCGGCCGAGAGGAAGGGCCGCCTGCGGACGGCCTGGGGCTCGATGTTTGCGAGGGACGGGAGGCTGCTGTCGGGCTTGGCCGCGACGACGAGGTCGCGGCAGAGGCCATTATCGCGAGATGGGATGGTGGTGGTGAGTGGCTGCGATGAGGCGCCTGAAGGGAGAGGTGAGCGACGCCAGCAGCGACTTGTGTCTGTTACTTGAATCGAGGCCTTGGAGAGGGCGTGGTCGTTCTAGTATCGTGGTCGTACGAATAGTGCGTGCTTGCTTATGTTTATGTGTGATGGGTGATGTGTGTTCCTTGGTGGTTGGTGGTTGGAAATGTGCTTGGTCCGAACTGGAGTAGCTCTTGGTTAGCACGTGCCAAAGCCGAAACCTTGGGCAGACTGCCAATCGCCCAAGTGCGTGTGCACGGTGATGGCTTCAATGACGAACGTACCGTAAGGTAGTCGTGGTATCAGAGGTAAAGGGGAAGGGTTACGCGCGCGAGTCGTGGAAAGACGCAATTAAGTTAGAACAGCAGCTGTTGAAGGTGAGGCGAGAAAGAAGAAGCAAGAAGTTAAAATGGTGTAGAGCGCAGAAAGGCAAAAAGCAACAGCAATGGAAAAAGCAAGTCCCAAATGGTTGCTGCTGCGCGTGGTTATGGTGGGAGGAAGGAATGTGAACGGTACGGAACGGACTGGACGGAGCAACCTGGAACCCCTCGAGCCAAACACCCAAGGTTCCGTCCGGGGGGGAACCGTCAGAGAGTGTCACGGGAAACATTTCCTTGGGCGGCCGAAAGCTCCAAAAGCACATGCCTCGGCTCTCAGGCCCAACCTGGAACTATCCCACCTCAATCCCTACAGTACAGTGAATAGTTCCTTACCTTTCCGGGGTCCAGTATCTGTAGGGGCAGAAACAAACGGAAACGGGTGCCTCCCATAGGCCCATGCAACCCAACTAATTCCCTAGGCGTCCAAGGCGTCCCCCCCGCAGCAGGGGACTCCCCCACACTCGTCACTTGCAGACACCCCGAGTTTAATGACTACTTCATGCATCACATCATCCACTCTCACAAACGTAGCACCAGTCGCGTCTTGGTTTTTCGTCTTTTTCATCTTGTTGACTTTTGTCGTGTTGACTTTTGCTGCTGGCGTTGCATTGGCCAAACAAGTCTAGTCTTGTGTCGCCTTTGTGGTCATACCCCATCTCACAGCTCATAAGGTGGGTAGGCATCTCAAGATACGTTAGCCGAGGCACCTGAGGTGGACATTACCGTTTCCCTCACCTCCATCTCACTCACATCTCACAGAGAGAGGCTCACTGAGTCTCATAGTGAGTCCCTCATCATCACATTTTACTTCGTCTTTGTCAATCTTCAATGAGTACCATTTTCGCAATGCACGCACTTACGGCCTCGCGAACCATTCATTCCCTTGCTAAAAACACACGTCTCATGCCCTGCCATTCTCCTCCTCCCTGCCTTTTACTTCCTCGGCAAACCAGAGTAGCCGTTCTCATCTCACTCAACCTGGGTATCCTTCATCCCCACAACCGGCAGCCATATCCTGGCCTGAATTTTTGTCCCTCCCTCGCCATATTTTTTTGGTTCCCCTCATATCGTCATATGCCATCGTCATTCATGGCTGGCCCGGTAGATTGAGGATATCCTTCCTACCTGAGTTAGGGTAGCTCAAGAATCTTTGCAGAATTCCTTCGTCTATCCTCATCCAAACGCCCTTCCCTTTCGACCAGCGTCAGAAAGGGATGAGCGTCCACCAAGGCCAGTCCTCGTCAGATTGTTTGCATGCGCATACAAAGGAAACTGGCGCAGTAAACGCCCATTACCAGCAAAAACAAGGCGCTGAGCGAGACTGCCCGCGCGCTTCCCAAAGCTTTTATGTTCTGGCTCCATTGCCGAGAAAGAAAAAAAAGTGAAAACTGCCAACACCATATGCAATGCCGAAACCTTCGCCCTGAACCTAAGAAAAGGAATTGCTGCCGCTTTTTGTACTCCATCATGCAAATGCGATTGCAGTCCATTGCGGGTCATCCACTGCTTGTTGGTGTTTTTAGTTCCCGTGTCGTAACATCATAATCCCAGCTGCGAGATTGCACCATCTCAAGGGTAGGCCGCTCGGCTGGTAACCTCCACATGTCCGGTGCCGTTTTGCTGCTGCGGCGCCATCAACGGAACCCACTGCCGGCCGAGAGACGGCGCGTCGCCGTTAACGTACGAGACCACATCCTCGCGCCAGCCAAGGGCATGCCACTCCTCATTCTGACGAGGATCGGCACTCTGCAGGCTATACAAGATGGACTCGGCATGCGGAACCGCTCCAGATCTGACCGCCTCAATCACTCTCGAGCGTCTATTCTCCCGCTCAGAAACGACGGCCCGCATGATGTGATGCCGAGCCTCGACGTTCGCCCATCCATTGACATTACCATAGCCACTGGACTCGAGGGCTGGCTTCAAGTACGCAAACGGGAGGTTGATAAGAATGGCTGAGAGCGTCGACCGGATGCTATTGTGCTGAGAGGATTGTGAGGTCGAATCCGAGCCGTTTGATGTGTTGTCAGGGCCCAAAGCGAGGTCACCGAACTGGATGTGCATGGGGCGAGGGCGACGATCTTGGCCCGCCGTTCCGCGAGCAATCGTGGGTGTTCCTTCGCGGGGTGGTATCGATGTGGAAGCAATAGGAAGTCGGGCAAAGCGCTCAGGATCGGCGACAGACGTGTCCAGGGTGAAATCGGGTGGGAAGTTGTTGATGATGAATGAGATGATGCCGTTCATCAAAACGTGAACAGGTTCGCCATAAATGAACTGGCTGTGTCTGTCAGCTGAAGCGCGACTAGGCAAATCGCCGAGGGCGAAGCCAAGAGCGCGCTCAATCGTCGACCAGCTAAGGGAATGAGACGCTATCTCCAGGCCACGGAAAACAATAGGCTGCCACGCCAGGATATGACCGGCGGCAGCATAGCCAAGGGCAAAGTCGAAGCGGTCATCGGCGTTGCCAGCCATGGTAAAATTGCCATTCGAGGCTGGCTCAGGCATGTCCAATAGCGGAAAGGCGTACAGGTGCTGCACGGCCATCCAGAAGGCATCAGATCGGAGGTACTTATCATCGGACTGCAGAAGAATGGTGCGGTTAGCGCCGGGCGAGCTGGATTCGACGTTATCAGCCTCTAGAACATTGCGAACGGCTTGGCTTCTGGCAAGAACCAGGCGGTGACCTGGTAGGCGAACGGGAGGAGCGCGGTCGTCGAGATAGCGAAGCTCCAGGGTGCAGTCGGCAAAGGCAGGGTCTCTAAACTGCGATCGCAGATAGGCGGCCATGTCGTCCAGTCCCTGGTGCTCGTGGCCGGGGTGCATCATATGCGGGGGCGGGATAGGCCCAGGCATCATTCGCTGGGGCGGTGCACCGAAAGCTCCGGCCGCAGGAGGGTGAGGGCGAGCGTCATCGACATGTGTCGTACCGTTGGGGACGCCTGGCGCGGGGTAGTGGTTGTAGGCACCAGTATCATCCGCATGGGCCGAAGAGTGCGACCCCTGGAAACTATGAGGAGTCGAAGGTCCGTAGCCACCGTTGAGATGAGGAGGGTACTGCTCCATGCCTCCATAGCCTGGAACAGGTCGGCCGAATCCATCTACACCGGTGCCGGGAACAAATTCCGTACCGTAGGGCATCTGGCGGTGGAAACCGTTGGCAGCACCGCTGAAGGATCGTCCGTCGGGGAGAGGCATGCCAGGAGGGGGCATGAAGCCTCCAGAGTGAGGGGGGGCCGGAGAAGACGAGTTGGACGCGAAACCTCCAAACTGAAGGCTTCCATTGCTGGGACGCGGGCCATGCATGTGTGGAGGACCGTTGTGAACTGATCGGGGGCCCCGGTGAGAGGTACCGTTGATGACGACGGGAGAAGGGCGCGAGCCATTGTGAGGATTAGGCGGCATGTTGTAACGCGTCGGAGGGATGACGGGAGGGGGTCGGAATGTCGATGGATGCTGCTGGTGCGTATTGTCTGTAGCATGGTGATTAGACCTTCGCGGCGTGAGGATATCGCGAGATTGAAGGCCCCTACCCTTCTTACCAAATTGGGCCACCGCGGGCGGAGAGGCGACGTGATTATTACCTGCGGTGTGTGAGTAGTGGCGACCAGAGTTGCAAGTGCCAAGAGCGGGCATACCTCGAACAGGCTCTTCAGCAGAGCGGGGGAGGTCTTGGTCGGCGGTCTTGTCGGTCGATTCGGACTCTTCGGTCGTGGACGGGGTCGGGATGGCGGCAGAAGATTCCTGGGAATCGGTAGCTAGTAGAGAAGAGTGAGTGAAATGTTCTCCGAATGCGTTGAAACCTGGCAAAAAAATTCCTGCATACCTTCGCGATCCTTTGTGTCATCGACTTCCGGGTCGGCAGGCGAAGGCGTCTCCTCAGCACCATTGGTAGCAGCAACGGGCTGTCCCTTGTCGTTTTCGTGTGCGGCAATCTCGATATCGATGGTCTTGGGCGTGCTGGGGGCGGAGTCGACGTCGTGCTGAATTTTCAAGGAAGAGCCGTTCGTGATGGCGGGTCGAGGAATGGTCGCAATAGTGGCGGCTTGGGCAGCAGCGGCGGCCTGCTTTGCAGCAGCATTGGCCTTGACGCGACGGTCCATGGGGAGGGGAATGACGGGAATCACACGCCTTGCAGCGTTGGGCCTTCCATGGGCGACACCGGCACCATTCCTCGCCTTCGGATTGCCGTTGGGAGCCATGGTGGGCGAGGCTAGGCGGGAGGGTTGTGTGGTGGTGATGTTGGAAGGGTGCTGTTGAGCTCGCAGCGCAAGGAGAAGCGGTCTTTGACTTGGCGGAACGGGCCCCAAGATTGAAAGTGGATGGGCTGCTGTGTGTGCCGGGGCCACACAAGGAATAGGAGCCGGGGGTTGTTCGCGGTAGGCGGTACAGCAGCTGTTGTCGGTTCGGCGATAGCGGCAATACTTGGAAGGCTCAGACTCAGGGCGGTCTCTCCGCAGAGTAGGCCACACTACTCCGACGAGAAAGTGGATATCTCTGAGGGAGAAAGAAAGGCGGTCGAGCTGGATGGAACAGTCGCAAATTGTAAGTCGTGTTGTGGTGTGGCCTCGGAAGGGGGAAGGGGGGGCAAGGTAACTGTCAAGCAGAGCTAGTGACTCTTTTTGTGTGGGCTGCGCATGATAGAGGGGATATGCGGGTGCTGATGCGTGCCACCAATGTCTCCAGACGGCGAATGCAGGAGGAAGCAAGAAGCAAAATAGCGAGATGCAAAGAGGGAGAAGAAGAGAAGTGGGAGGGAGTTATGCCAAAGCGAGGCATAACAGAACAGATCAGCGAGCAGCTTTAGGCGGTTCTGCTGCGTGATGAGGTAAGGCAAGGTCAAGGTAGGGCGATGATATCCTGCCACTACCTGCCGCTATTCTACTACTAATTATAACTACGGCCGCTATATAACTACCAGTCTCGGGTATATATATAAACTAAGCTTTATATAGTTAATATTTAAACAGATTAAGCTAATTAGAGGCTATTAATTAATTTATAATTAATTAAATTATTTTAATAAAAAGTATAATAATTAATAAATTAGTTTAATTAATTATTAATTATTTTATATAGCTTATAGCCCGTAATTTAATAACTTCTTCTATTTTAGTTTTATACTCTACTTTAGCCTTATATTTATTAATAAGTTTATTTATTTTACTTTTTATTATAGGATTAATTTTATAAAAGTAATCCTCGTTAGCTAAATCTTATAGTATATCTAATTACGTAAGATTATTAGTTAATTAAGATTACGATTTTATAAGTATTAATAACTAAGGAGCCCCTATAAGATTAATTATATTATTATTAACTATATTAATTACTACGTTAGTAATAGCCCGCTAATACTCTTACTATATTTTTATACTAGGTTTATATATATTAAAATTATATATAATCTCGAGGTTTTATTAAGTAGAAGTAGCTTTATTTAGTACTAGAAATATTGTTAATAATAGTAATATTAGTATAGGCACTATTTTTATATATTTAATAGCTTTTTTATATTTAAATATAAAGGGCTCTTATTTAGAAAAAGTACTTAAATTAATTACTAACTTTTTTAATTTAAACGTTATAATACTTACTATAATTATTATAATACTTATTATAAAGCCTTATAAATAACCCTTACTTCGGATTTATAAAAGATTAAGTAGGGGAGTAGAGGTATTATTATTAATAATAAGCTCTAAGTATTATTAAAACTAGTATAAGTAGATCTTTTTTAGTAATATTAAAATACCGTTTTTAATATATTATTAAAAGATATAGTAATAAAATAGCTTATAAATAGTTTAAATTAAGTAGGGTACGTACTTTTTTAATAGCTTTTTATATAAATTTAAATTTAGTTATTTACTTAGTATACGGAGTTCTTATAAAAAGTACTTAAGGGTATTATAATATATATACGTATATATCTTTTTTTAAAATAATCCCGTAGTAGTACTTAATACTTTAGCCTAGTAACGGGTTTAGTAAGTACTAATTATAACTACTTAACCTACTTAAAAAATAATTAATTTATTAAATATAGCTTTAAAGTTACCTATATAGTAGTAAATTTATACTTTAATACTTATATATAAAGATTTAATAATTAACGTAGTTAAATAACCGAAGTACTTAATTTAGTTAACTTAAATAAGTACGATTTTTTTATACTATAGCTTAAACTAAGTATTAATAATATAATTAACTACTACTATAAGGTACTTAATAATCTTAAATTTAAATAATTAGTCGTAGTATATAGCTATTAATTTATTATAAAAGAGATTATTTTAATCCGTAAGGAATTATTAAAAGCGAGGGTTATATATAATTATATTAGTTTTATCCCTCGTAGCCGGGCCGAAGTAGTACCAGGTCTTAGTTAGTATATTAAGGTTAATATATTAATAATAGAGTACGTATAGTATTACTTTAAATTAAGTATTATTATTAAGGGCATTAAGTAAAATAATCTTACGATCTATATATATAACTTATAAAAAGGGAATATTATAAGCCTAGAGTAATATTAATAACTAGTTAATAGCCTAACGGTAATTAGTTTTTTTTTATTAAATAAAAAATAGCTCGTAACTTAGAAAGTATAATTATTATTTATAACTCTATAGATATTAAATAGTAATATATTAAATCGATTAGTTTTATATATAGAATTTATTAATAAAATATCTAGATATTATTAAAATAAGGAAATCGTAGTAATAAGTATAATAAATAAGTTCGTAATATAGCCTACGTTGTTATATTAAAAATAGTACTAGTACTTTATAAAATTACGTAATTAGTTAAATAACTACTTAATAAGGGATTTGCTATTTAATTTATTATAGTAGTAAGTAGTTAGTATATTAAGTATATTATAAGTAATAATACTATTATAATCGCTACTTTTTAATTAGAGGCTCGAAAGGATTTAAATAGGTCGAATATTTTTATTTTATTAATTAACGATTTAGCCCTTTTTATTATATAATAATACATAGTAGTAATATATAAAAATATTAGTATAGCTAAATAAGTAATTATAGTAGTTACGGAAGTTACTAACGACGGGACAAAAGAGCTAGTTATTATTTAAAAAGCTAGTAATAATTTATTAATAATAATTTATAAACGAAGTTAAGGATTTATAATGCTTATTTAAATAGGTTAATTTTACGAAGTATTATTATTTTTAATTATAATACGGGCTATAAATATAATAATAAATAATAATAATTAGCGCCCTAGTAGAGGGTTTATATTAAATAATTCGGATTATAAAACTAGCTTTATAAATAGCCTCGTTAAGTATTACTTTAGTTTTAAATAAGCTAGAGAAGCGCTAATTATAAAATAAATAATCGTATTTTATATAACTATATTTATTATAATTAACGGTATACTAATAGATAAAGGGATTATTAATTTTATAATTATTCTTTTTTTATAGTATATTAACGTTAAGAATAGTTTTAATTAGTAGTAGTAGTAGTAGTAATAATAGCGAGGTTAACGAAGTAGTAGTAGGTGGGTAGGTAGGTAGGTAGGTAAGTAGGTAGGTAAGTAGGTGGGTATGGGTAGCTGGGCTCCGTGGTCGGAGGTAGGGGCGGTCGCAGCCATAATTAGGGGCAGGATATTGGCAGGTGCTGGCAGGATATTATCGCCCTTAAGGTATCCGTACGGACGGATGAGGAGAGGGGAGACGTGAGGGAGTGGAGTGGAGGGTCTCCCAAGCGTGGTGAAAGAGGCGTGACAATGGGATGTCAAGCAGAAGAAAGTGGAGGAGCAAAGGATCAAGGGGTAGAAAGAGGAAGAAGAAGAAGAAGAAGAAGAAGAAGAAGAAGAAGAAGAAGAAGAAGAAGAAGAAGAAGAAGAAGAAGAAGAAGAAGACAAGAAGACGGGCCGTTTGAGTCTTGACGTTCTTGGCCCTTTGGATGACGGGGTGTTTGAATGTTTGGTCACAGGTCAAGGTACTTGGGTGTTGTTGGCGGAGGTGGAGGTGGAAAATAAACGTCCAAGAGCCAGCGATTAATAAGACGGGAAGAAGGAAGGTGCGAGCAAGAGCAAGAGCAAGAGCAAGAGGAAGCTTCCGTCCCTGCCTGGCTTGACCGTTTCTGTTTTTGGTTCAAGGTCTTGGGACGTTGGTCACGTAAATGGAAGTCACTGAGGCATCAAGTATCTGTACCTTCCTTCCTGTACGTAGATAGGCATCCACCCAGGCCAAGGAGAGAACTGCAGCTGGAGTTGGTGCTTCCTGCTCCTACCCGGCGAGATATTGAAGCTGGTTCAGGGAGCACTCACTCACTCACTCACTCACAGATCATGGGCCGGTGCATGGGTCAGGCAAAAAAAAAAAAAAAAAAAAAAAAAAAAAAACAGAGACTGAAAAATAAAAATAAAAAAATCCGATGATGACAAAAACCGGGGCTGCGTCACAAAATTTTACCCCCGCAGAGAAGAGGAAAAAAAATAAAAAGCGGTTCAATCTTCCCGGTACGTACTCCGAGCTTGGAGCTTCCAACTTCGATCTAATTGGCCCAAGATCGTCTGGCTCTGGAGAGCTATAGCCACAACCCACTATAAAGGCACGTACCGACCGATTGGAAGGTTCCTCACCTTAAGGTATCTTGGTACTGCATACTACGTACATAGTCACCTCAAAAGGTGAAGGGGAAGCTCACCTTGGGCCAATTCATCTTGGTCCCTGTCCGGAGGAACCGTTGATTGCCCGAGTCAAAGAATCAAGAGACGAGCCTACATTACCCATCCCCTTTCTCCTGATAATGCGTAGACAATGTACAAGGGAATAGGTCTTGTTGTAATCGGTATCTAGCAAAGGGACCAAGGGATGCAGGAAGCCGTCCCTTGAAGGAATCATTGACATGGCAAGATCCGTTTGTTGTTTTGTTTGCATCCTCTTCTCTCATGCCTATGCCCTGACAAACAAACCACCATCATCACTTTTCCTTAGCTCCGGGTCTTTGACAGTTGGTGCGCTGCAAGTCACACCACAATCTGACAAAAGATTCAACGCCATCCCTAGCGGATGCACCTCTGAGGCTCTAACCAGCCGACCGACCGAGCTTCCTTTGCGTTCAGGCCCGTGGTGGCCACAGAAATAGGTTCCTGAATCCCAAGCCACCAGGGCCACCGGTGCACTACCGTTGAAGCTACCTCATCTCCGGGCGCACTTCTAAGGTGATCAAGGTACGGAGTACAACTATGGATTATGTCAGCAATGCTTCCCTAACGACGTCAGACCACCGACTGCTTTGTCCGAGACACTGGACCACTTAAATCCAGACCCCTCCATCCGCTGCTGGGATCTTATTCATCTGACAAGAAACCGATCCAGGTCCCGTCCGATTTATGATCGAGTCCCAGGCTACCCGTCCGGCGCATCTACATTCGGAGCCGATGTGGGGCCGCGCTTTCCAAATGGAGCTCGGACTCGGATCCGCTACTGTTCGTAATCCTTCAAGTCCACATTCACTGCACTCATTTGCGCCTTCTACGGAAAGTATTGGCTCTATACACAGACCTAGCATCGGCTACTTGGTTCAGAATAGTGATATGATTGAATTGAGAAAACAATGTAGGAGAAAGGGATACGCCTTATTCTTGAAAAACTAGGGAAAATGCCACTGATCAATATATCGGAAGTATGTGGTCTTGGAATCGGCGTCTTCTCATAGGGATGGCATACAATCATGCACCTCAGGTTCGCGATGTCCGGCTATCTGATGATGCCCGTGGTTCCTTGTCCGAGTAGTCAAGGATAGCCCAGAAATGTCACGT